CGGGCAGCCTGTGGGAAAGGCCTGCCCCCCACGGAGTAGAAAGCGGCTCCTCTTTAACTTCCGACGGGGGGGCCCAGCCGGAGGACTCCCCGAGCTCCCTCTGGTCAGTGCCCTCTGAGGGGGCTTTGCTGGTGAGGCCCGCGCTCATGGTTCCGAGTGGGTGGTCCCCTCAGGATACCACTGGTGACAGGGCTGTTGACTTGGCTTTCACTGTGAGGACAGGTCTGCACGTCCTCCCCACCCCCTACCCCAACTCTGCTCCTGGACAACTGAGGGCTTTCTTCCTCTTTTCTCTTATTACAAAAGTAATTCATACTGTAGAAAAATAGAAAATTACAGAAATTAAACAAGTAATATAAAGATCGCCCTAATCCCTCCCCGAACTGGTTGTTTTTTACCCTTAACGGACATATGCATATGCATTTATATATTCATACACGGTTACATTCTCACTGCACACATTGTTTTCACCTGTTGTGTATGTCTGTCCATGTCACTAGAAGTTCTGCTACAACATGAATTATAATAAATGTGCAGTATTTTATCCTATGGATATACATCTGTATCTCCAAATATTATTTATCTACTCCCTTATCATTGCATATTTAGGGTGTTTCTAATTTGGGGCTATTAAAAACGCTACTGTTCCTTTGATTCAGCTCTTTCACTTACAGGTATCCTTGAAGGTGGGGTGGGAGCTCAGGAGTATAAGGTACAGGGAAACATGGTACAGCAGGAGAGGGGAGCAACCCCATTGTCCTGCTGATGGAGGGGACTGGTTCCTTATAGCACTGCATAGCATGAGATACTGTGAGGCCCTGCTGTACTGACAACGGAAGATCTTAAATATATACACGTCAAAAAAGCAAGGTGCAGAACAGCATGTGTGCTACTATTTGCGATTTAAAAGGGGTATTAATATACACACACATGCTCAGATAAGCACAGGATACCTCTGCTGAAGGTATGAGAAAATGGTACCTTTGGGGAAAGGAACTTGGGGAGGAATGGATGCTGCCCAGGGTGGAAGACTTTTCACTCTATTCTTTTGAATCAATGTGTTTTTTTGTGTGGGTTTTTTTTTTTTTATTAACATGTTCATGTATTACCTATTTTTTTGTTAAGAAAAAAAGAGCTTTTGTGATAAACATCCTTGTAGCTACAACCTTTGCTTACATCATAATTTATTTGGGATAAATTCCTACCTGCGAATGAAAAGGCTAAAAGGTGTGAACTTTTCCTCCCAATTATATATTTTTTAAAGCCAACTGTATTGAGGCATAATTTTCATATAGTAAAATTCATCCATTGTAAGTGTTCAGCTGGATGAGTTTTGACAAGTGTATCCACCTGGGTACCACCACCATTATCAAGACAACATAGAACATTCCCTCTCCCCAGAAGGCTCCTTTACAGGTCTGCACTTTTTAAGGAACTTGAGGGCAGATGGAGGTTGTGGGGTGGGTCTTGTGTTCATTGACACGTGCTCAAGCTGAGCTGCTAAAACTTGAGTGGGACTGTTGGTGGCAGGACAGACATGAAACACAGAGCTCAGGCCCTAGCTGGGGCTGTGGACTGGCCTGACTGCCAGCCGATGGGGACTTGAACCAGCTGGAAGGCCTGAATAATGAGAGGCCTGGAAGGCCAGAAGTCCTGGGTGTGCAGCGTTCCAATGGCTGATGTCCCAGGTGCCAGAACCAGGACAAGGGGTGGAGCTTGCAGGGAGATAGCTTCAGCTCTGATAAGGAAACACTTTCTCAGAACTGTCCCACTGTGGAGCGATCTGCCTCGTGTGGTGCTGAGCTCCAGCTCACAGGGGCTGTTCTGGCAAAGGCTGAGCCATTGGAAGTGGTCCCTCAGCCATGTAGCACGTGGCGAGTTTGAATGTCCTGCTGGGTCCTCCCCGGGTGGCACAGTGAAGGTACTAGTGATTACTTTCCTGCTTTAGCACATGCCAGACACCAGGCTCAGCACTTCCTGTGGACTAGCTCCCCAAGGCCTTTGTTCAGTGACTGCTGTCCCCACTCTACAGATGAGGGAGCTAAGTGGCTGGCAAAGGTCACAAAGCTCCGAATGGCAGAGAAGGGGGTGGAATTCGAGTCTGTCTTGCCTCAGAGACCAAATCTGTAGCCCCCACAGATTGTCATCCCCTAAGATGCTGCCTCACTTCCTGGTGTGTATGCCCGGGCAGGTCACTAGGCCTCACTGACCTTTCCCTCATCTGTAAAGCAGGGATAGCAAGAGCTTGGCTGCCCAGACCCCTACTCCCTTCCCCCACAACCCCTGCCCAACTTTGGCAGAAACACAGGATCACCGTTGAACTTGACTCCGAGTGCTGCACCAGTTGGCCTCTGGGACCTCCCACGTGCTAGCTCTAGGAACTGACATGAGCAACCTCATCCTGTCTTGTCTTGCAGGATGTACTTCATCTAATCAAAATGTTTAAAGAAATCCAGAAAGCAAAGAAAATGAACAGATCCAGGGACCCCAAAGATATCAGAGTAGATGCGTGGCCACTCCTGACCCAGGGCCCTTGAGTGAGTGCCCAGAGATCCCTAGGCCTCAACCTCTCCACCCCAGCAGGTCCTGCCTCGCCTGGCTTCTGGCCTCTATGTGAGAACTGACCTGCCTTGCTTGCCTGACCAGATGGGCACAGCAGGTCCTGCCCACGGCCAGCCTGGGTGCCTCCACCTGATGGGCTCCTCCCGATGCCTCCCCTCCAGGATTCTCTTTGAGCTGCTCAGCGCCTTGGGCCCAGGTTCTAGCTCCACCCACTTGTGGAAGACAAGTCCCCAGCTCCTTGGTCATTTCCCTCCTTCCTTCCTGGGTAGGTCAGTTAAAGGGCTACTATTAAAGTCCTACAAGACTTGACTCCCACGTTTCCAAATGCCCAATGAGAAGGCTCATAATAACCCTGCACATGGATCAATAGCAGCTTCACTTTTTTTTTTTTTTCCTTTTTGTCTTTTTTCGTGTCCGGCAACGGATCGCAACCCTCAGTGTCGTGCCCGTACCGGACCGGGACCGGCAACGGGATTGCAACCCTCGGTGTTGCACCCGCACCTCGCTCAGCCAGTGAGCGGGAACCGGTCTGTATGTGGGATCTGAACCCTCGGCAGGAGCACCGCCGCGCCTCAAGCGGCGCACTGTAGCAGTGCGCCACCGGGCCGGCCCAGCAGCTTCACTTTTTAGCAGAAGAAACTGAGGCTCAGAGAAGTTAAGGAACTTGCCTGAAGGCACATTGGGCTCAGAATCCAGGCCTCCTGATCCTCAGTTTAGGGCTCTCTGCATTGCCCCAGGCAGCCCCTGCCCCTTGGTGAGAGGGATTGCAGCCCTCAGGGTCCAGCTGAGGCCCACAAGACACGCCTGATGCTGGAACATGCTTGCAACACTGCACGGGGTGCACAGTGGACACAGGTAGCCTGTGTTTTTTATTAGTCTTTTTAGCCTGAGCCATTAGTCAGCCTCCTTCCTCTCTTGCGCAATCACCAGGTCATGCTGATGCCATCTTTGTTGTCCCTCCTTATGCCCACGCTAGCCCCCTCTCTGACCTGGGCTCCTCTTCCAGCAGCCACCGGGATTGTTCTAGCCCATGGCTCTGGTCGCTTCCTGCTCTGGGACCCCCTGCAGCCACCTCAGGATAGAGGGTCAGACTGCCAGATCCAGGGCTCAGCTCAGGCATGAGAGGTAGTTTAGGGACAGAAGGGCACGCCCAGGGGAGGACCTGCCTCCCCAGGAGAAACAGAGCAGCAGATGGTTCAGACAGCTGGTCTTCAGAACCTCATGGTTTCAGAAGCAAGAATGACCTGACAGTGCCCTGGCCCAGCTCTCCTCCCAGCACCCCTGAGCATCCCTGAGTGCTGGGTACGGACAGACACGGCTGCTCCCTGCCACGCAGCACCACGCGGCCTGCCCAGGGCCCCAGCTGTGCTGCTGCCAAGGAGAAAAGGCAGCTTTGTTGACCTCAGGGACTGAAGCCCAGCCAGAGCAGAGTCCAGCTGGGCTTCCATGGGACCAGGCAAAAGCAAGCTGGTGCATGTGTGTGTTGGCCCTGTCCAGCTGGACGCTTTCCCATAGAGCATCACCTCTGCCAGGTGCTCTTGTGGACATAGGACCTCTACCTGCCTGAGCTCACTGTCTAGCAGGGGAGCTGGCAGAATTTAAAGAAGTCTCTTTTGTTTAGAGAATGGAGGAATTGAGTCTTTTCATCAGGAGAAAGCTGTTCCAAGGACATGGAGCTAGGCCACGCCAGCTATGTCACTTCCCTCCTGGGAGCAATGTCCCCCATGCGGACTACCCTACCTCTCTGCATGCTCATCAGAGCTCACAAATCTGCTCCCTCAATACGCAGGCTGTGCGAAAGCCAGGCTGTCCTGTAGTTTTCTGAGATGGTCACTCAATTCATTCTCTTTTGTATGAGTTACTAAGACAAATGAAAAACTAAACAGAATACCGAGTCTTCATGTTTTCTTCTCAGTCACAGCCAGGTATGGAGGACCTTTGCTGTGCTGGGTGCTGTCCAAGACTGGCACCTCCTTTGGATATAAGTGGCCACCAGTGAGCTGGACTGGAGGCAACCAAACTTCATTGGGCCTCTGGGGCCCCTCAAAGTAGCCTGGCTTCTGGATGGGCAACTGTGGGAGAATTTCGGGGGGGCTTGGAGACAATGTAGGGAGCACTGGGGCTTGTCTGTCTCCAAGGCCCAGCATGTACCAGGAGCTGGCAGCTTTTGGATGAATGAGACCAGGTGCTGATGAGCCCTGCCCTGAGCCTGTTGCTCACCTGCACTGTGAGAATATTTCTGCTCCGACTTTGTTAGGTGATAGGGCGAGCCCAGATGCCCTGGCGGAGCACTCAGAGGTGAGGGGCAAGGCAGCCCCAGACCTGGTTTCTCCCGAGCTGGGCCTGTTCATCTGGAGAGAGAACTTGCTCTGCCAGTTCTTCTCAAGGGATATAAAGGACCACCTGGAGCTGAAGCAGTATCTCTGCAGTGGGCAGGGCTGTGACATTAAAAGAAGCACAGGGCACAGAGCAGTGTCCTTTAAGGGGTCAAGGGAAGGGATGGCTGAAACAATGCCAGGTTGTAACTGTGTTCTCTATTTCAGACAGGAATTCCAGGCTTGGACTGGAGTGAAGCCCTCAAGATCCACAAAGGCAAAACCAGCCAGAGTCATCACAACCCACACCTCTGAGTGGGACAGCAGCCCTGGGACCAGCTTCCAGGTTAGCCTGCAGTGGGTGTTGCAGGGCCAAGGGGTGTGGTTACAGAAAGGCCTTTTTTCCGGGGTGGGGGTTAGGAATCAGATTTTGATGGTGTAAAATGGCATTACGGCCAGGGACAGCAGCACCCAACCAATCCTCCCGAACAGACAGAAAACCAAGTACTTTTTTATCGTTAGCCAGGCGGTGCCCCTCCAGAGTTGGCTTCTCTGGTGAGCAGGGTGTCTCTGCCTCCTAAATCTCAACCTTACCGTTGACCACTGAGCACTAGTGACCAGCCCTTCCAAATACCCAAGCACTTGTGTGAGAGGGAAGAGAGGGAAGGGAGGTGGGGACTGTTCAGCTTCCTGATTCCACCTAAAGGCAGCTTCAGGGAGCAGAACGGACAGTCCATGTGACACTGCTCACTGGGGTAAGTTTCCCATCGACCCCTCAGGTTAGTAGCCTCAACTCCTGGAGGACGAAAAGGATGGGGGGGGGGCATTTTTTTCCCAGGAGCTGGAGGTTGGGGGCGGGGGGTGGGGAGCTGAGGAAAAGGCCCACTGACGTGTGGCCACATTTCATTTACCAGGTCCCTGAGGTGAGGCAGAAGTTCACTCCGAACCCCTCAGCCATCTTTCAGGCATCGGCTACCCGGATTCTGAACGTGTGACTGCCTGTGCTGTGGAAATTGTGGCTGCTGAGAGGAGCACTGAGTAGGCTCAGGACCCACCACCCCCAGGGCCTGGGCGTGGGCACAGCAGGGCCCTCTGCCGTCAGAGGGGCACAGCCATCTCAAAGCTGCCACTGGGGCTGCAGGCCGGCACGGAGCAGAGGCACAGGGACTCGGCACCACCCAGCTCAGCTCGGCCTCAGCCATCCTCTTCTTCCTCTAGAAGTTGTGGAAGGCCTCACGTGTTTTTAAGTGCCATTTGGCCTTCCTTCAGTTTTTCCATCTGAAGAACTTGAGGATCAATTCAGTTGTGAACTGAATAGGTCCATGGGGGCTGAGGAATATGGACATTGTCAGCTCCTTGAGCGAACCAATAATGTCCATTTGGGTGGTTTTCCCAGGATGCATGATAATTTATTTATTTTATAGCCAATGATAATCCAAAGTGATGTCCTTGGAACTTCTGCAAGTGGCCCCGCGTTTAAATTGTAGAAATCCTAGGTTATTACCTGCACGTGACTCCTGGTGATGCTGAGTACCCAGGAAGAAGTTTCCAAAAGAAATGGAATATCAACCATAGGGCTTCAGTTTCAAAGACAGTTTCTTTATAGCCAAGATGATCCTAATGCATTAACAAAACATTTCTTGGGATGGGTGAAGTATTGAAGAATAATACTGACCCTTGTGGGAGGTTTCTAAAGACTGAACCCCACATTTTATTACTAATTTCAGTTTTTCCCCCTAACATGGGTGAATAGAAGGGAATTACCTTCTATTGGCTAAGAATTTTGAGCATCTTAGGGAAGGTGGCATTTGCCTCATTCCTTGAAAGACCTTAAAATGTCTACACCAGCCCTTACCCTCTCACACGTACAGTGACTGGGAGCTCACCGCCTGTTGAGGAGGAAGCTCATTGTCTTTGGAAAGTTCTCTCCTTTCTGGTCAGTGTGGCTGTGTGGAGCAAGCCTGGTCCTTTCTTTGCACAGCAGCCCTCTGAGCATTTGCAGGGATTTGCGTCCCTTCATAAAGATTAGAGGCACGAGCATGGAGTTTTTTGTAAGGAAACCTAAGGATTTCCCCTTGGATCTTTCTTCCTCTCCAGCCACAAGTGGCTCTAGTCTGAGGAGCATCTAAGCCACAGGCGGTGGCACTCAGGTTTCAGAGCCACTGCGGACACAGGTGGGGCTGTGCTTCCAGCTCAGGCTGCCCTGGCAGCGTCCCTCAGCGGTGCTGGCTCTGGCGGGCACAGCCCTTCCCCTCATGCCAGCAAAGGCAAGGCTCTGATGAATCACTTTAAAGGGAAGGACTAAAACCATATGCTTACACAAAGGGTTCTATTATTTCATTGGTTTGCATGTGAGGTGTTTCTAAGAGACTGCCTGCTGGGCATTCTGTGGGAAATGAACAGATGAACTGTACAATCTCAGATTTTACTCAAATGCAAAAATGTACTGTTTCAATTTCTATTTCTTTCTTAAATTATAAACATGAAAGCCTTCTCACACTTTTCCTTTTATCCTTTCTCTTTGTAATAAGGACTTTGATGTAGCATGCCTATGCTAGTATGCTTTGGAGGCTTGTCAACCCTAAGCACTTCTCACTGTGGGCTGTAGTCTACACTGGTGCTATATGTAGCATTTCACAGAACGCATCGACCTTCCCTCTTTCACTTTACCCATCTCTCCAACCCTCACCCAGGAGCCTAGGATAAATGGCCTGCCTTTGAAGCTTGTCTTGGGCTCAGATACCATCAGCGTGAGCAATTTGAACTTCCGTTTTTTCGTCTGTAGAGTGAGGACACTACCACCAACACCTTGCTGGCTTGCTAAGTGCATTTGTGTTTATGTGCAGAGTGCTTAGTACAGTAAATAGCCAACAAAGCACAGCTGTTAGAATTATTTTTTCCTGCCTAACCACCCCTTTCCCACCTCCCCAAGGAGGCAGCTCTGTTCCCATCTGTTGCCACTAACATTCTCCAACTTGTTGCCTGCCCTGTACTCACCGCCAGTCACCACCCCCTGCCCTCCGTCACACTGCATGGCTGGCAGTGCTCTTCCCTTCCCAGAGCCTGCTTGGGAAGTCCATTCATTCTTTTGCCATGAGGGACTAATCAGCTCTGCTGCTTCTGCCAGGACACGCCTGACCTGCGCCTTCCTGGCAATGTGTTGCTGCGGTAACAGCTGAAGTCCCCACCCCCTCCCCACCCCCTGCCTTCAGACAGGCCTGGCTTCTGGAAGGCAAACTGCATGCCCAGGAACCTTTCTGCAGTGTACAATAGACAGCTTTTCACAAAAACCCTAACTCAACAGCCTTCCTTGTTAGGCTTCACTAATGGTTACATCTGGGTTCAGAAGAAACTCCCACCTACTCACTCTAGGTCTGAGTTAGCCTAACATCGTCTCAGGTAGTGACCCAAGAAGCAACTGAGACCAGTCTCAGCCATGTGGTCCCATCCCACAGCTATCTTACACACGTGTGTAATACACACAGATGAAGACAGGACATGCACTGGAATATTAACAGTGGTTATCTCTGAGAATGGGGTCATGGGTAATTTTTACTTTTTTACATATTGGCAAAATTTCTAGAAAATAAGCATTTTTGTATTAATTCTGTAAAAGTTTTTGAAAATAAAAAGCAGTTCAATCTGCTAGCTACTTTCAGCCAAAAGCAAGTGTTTTACATTAATTATTCCAGAACCACAGTTACCACTGCAGTAGTTGCCTCCATGGGCTGTGGGGTGCACTGAGGCCCTTTAAACAAGTTGGGGGGCTCACAGCCACTCAGGCCAAGATCCCACCTCTCTCGTGCTCCATGCTGCAGAACCCCGGGACATTAGACCAAACTCTAAAAAACAGCTTCAGAGAAAAGCTACCCCAGGGAGACAGAAGAACTTCCCCTTTGAACAGGGTCAAGACAAGGCCCGGAAGCTGACTCTCTGTTGGCCCCATTCACACAGGGCTCCTTCAATCACTAACATGAAGCCCCCATTTAAGGCACTGCCTATGACATTGCTCTTTGTCTGCTCTGTGGCCCCCGTCAAACCCTGGCTCAGATAATTAACATTCAGGAAGATGAGCCTAAGCATGCCCCAATCCTCACTCCTCCAGACTATTCAACTCTCTCGATTTTGACCCTAAGTGAAGACTGGTCCCCAGAGAGCTACGTACTTAGACTGTATCACAATGCCTCCCTGTAGAAATTCCTGCCTTTACAGAACCAAAGCTTTCAAAGCCTTTTAGCTCTTATGTTTCTGCACTATTTGTTATTTTTTAGCCACGATAACAGATGGTCACAGCATAAGGACTGTCATAGGAAGAACTTCTTTCCTCCTCAGCACAGACCAGTTTTATCTTGCCAGATAAACCAGTATGTTTCTCTGTTAGATAACAGGAGCTGTTTCCCTCTTTGCCTTGGCTTTGAGGAAACTCCGAGCTCATTTGTGCAGTTTTCCTTTGCCCCAAGCTGTCAGAAATAATTATGTCCAGGGTCAACATGTACCTTCCAACATTTTTTATAAGGTTTTATGTAACTGTAATCCTTCATCTTGCATAGTTGCAAATTCTTTTTGAAAGAAGTAGAAGAATTCATTTAAACACACAAAATAAAAATCTATACCTTTGCCCCCTTCCAGTGCTTTCTGACCTGATGCAAAAAGAACCCTCAGTGCTTCCAACTCAGAAAAACCCATCACAAATACTAAAAGATTTATTGTGGCATTTCTGTTACAATTATGTTACATATTATGATACAAATACATTTGAAACATTAACACACACACAGACTGTTAAATCATTTAATATTTCTTTTGCAAAGATCATTTTGTTAGGCTTTCCTACCTGTAATTAATGAATCTGTTTTCATTTGGATCAAATCATTCGTCTGTAGATCTCACTCATAGTCCACTTGCTGAACGAGTCTATACACTTGCTTATCAACCTTGCTTATACGTAGTTCATATACAGAGTATCTGAGCCTTGTGTACGAAACTATTTCATTAAGCCAGAGCATATGCTATGCCGGACAGAACAGATTCCTTCTGCATTTGCAACCCTCAAATGCTGAATTAAAACGACAGATTTTATCCAGTCACCTCCCTGCCCTGCCTTATTTTCCTGACTCATGCATTTATGAGACCCATAAAAACATGAATTATGTTGCTTGGATAAGTTTGACTCAGTTTTCAAATTTTCTTTGAGCAGAGTAAAAGCAGGTTTCAAACTGAGAATAAGTCTTTCCTTGGCCTTCCACACCGACCAGGTAGGAAGACTGGGTAGAGTACTCAGTGGAACTGGACATCATGCGGTGGCCCTGCCAGCCTCCCTCCTTCTGCCTGCTCCTCCCTCCCACTGAGGGGCTTTGTTATGGGCACAATCTATTCTCACTGCTTCTGAGCACTGGCTTCCCTGTCTCTGGGTTGGGCAGTTATTTTTCCAACTTGAAGGCACTCACAGGTGTTTCTTTTAAAGACTTTTCTTCTTGAGGGGAAAAGCTCAACAGAGAAGAGCAGGATATTAAATCCATGGGTAGGACCAACAATCCCAGCAGAGCCTGTCCAGGGGGCTGCGCCCGACTGGCCACCACCATGGATTCAGCAGCAGAAGCTCCTGCAGACCATGCAGATGGTGTGCAGCAGCTACCTGCTCGGCACACGGGTGTACAGCTGGTACGACTCTGCCAAGTGCCTGGGGTTTGTGGATGTTGTCTCTTACTAACATATTAAGTTTCCTGGGCCACAGTGAAACCTCCTCCTATGCTGAGATCTGTCCATCCCTGGACATTGCTGACACTGGTTGTAGTAATGCTCCTGTGCTCCGTGAAGAGAGAATCCTGCTCCGTCTGCAGCCTCGCAGGCCTTTGTGGTTTCACATGCATTACCTCTGCCTGCAGCTGGACCCCTGGGCTAAGAGCACAGAGGCCAGGCAGGAGCGGAGAACCACTCGCTGAGTGCTGCCGCCCAATCCCTCGTCAGGGTGGCTGCTGGAGCTGCCTGGAACCCCAGCCCACGGGGCAGGTGGGATTGCTAGCCTGCCAGACTCATTTTCCATTTCCTGGGGAATCAGGCCCAAAGTGCCCTGCGAGTACACCCAGAAGAGAGAAGGCCCCTGGCCCAGCTCTGAGACCCCTTCATGGAGGCTTTATACAGAGTGGAGAAATGGCAGCTGACAAAGCATGCGTCCACCCTCAGCTTCACTCCAGAAACAGACTTCTGTCCTGAAAGGATTTCATCTGGAACTGAACACTCTGGCATTACACTGGATTAGGCAGAGGCAATGGTTCAGCAGCCACGATACTCTGAGGCCCACAGAAAACCACCTCCTTCCCCAAACACGAGAGTCACCGCAGTTCCCATGCTTCGGATGCGCCTTCAAATCCCGCTTTTCTAGGGGCAGCTGCATTCTGTTCACTGATCCTCGTTCAGTACCCCCATGTGCTTGTTTGTGAGGAAGTCCAGGAAGGGAATGTTGCAAATGGCCTGATGAATATTACTCACAGAAATTTCTTTGGGAATCCTGGTCCAAAAAACAAAGGGTATTAGGTGTAATTCTCTTAAGTGTATCTAATAATTTATTTACCCAAGGGATTATCCCCTGCACAGGCCTTATGGAAGGGGACAATGATGAGTGACAAGGCCTGGCTTAGGGCCACTGTGGGTTAGGGAGCGCAAGGTGCATACTCTCTATCTTCCCATTAATTCCTTTCAATTTTGACAAGACATCTGGTCTACCCTCACTCACAGACCTATTCAGGGCTCAAATATGTCTTCCCAGTCACAGGCATGAGAAAGATTTCAAGTTGGTTGAATGATTAAGAAAAAAGACTCTGAGAACTGAGGAAAGAGAAAGGCAGTAAAGTGGACAGAAGAACAGAATGATATGTTTGTAATTCAGTCATAGCCGACTGAAAACTGGGTCAAGGCACCACGGAACTCTGGCACCATACTTCCTGTCTCTGGAAAGATAGGAGATGGAGTCATGCCAGGCCAAGTGTGATGTTAAATGTTCTCATCAAAAGCACCCAAGTCGCATCATCTCTAGAAATCGGGCCATGGAGGTGAGCAGGGCCACGGAAGGCACTCGACTCATCCTGGATCTCAAGCAGGACAGTAAGTGGCATGACTGGAACTCACTGTCCCCTTCCTTTTTTCTAAAGACTTCTATGTTACCTGATGTAGTATATTCCTATGAAATCTGACCTAATCTCTGACTTAGGCCTGTTTATGTCGTCAGGTACTTTGTTACAATTTTATAAATTTACGACTGCCTTTAGCATAATGGGATAAAATACATTCGTTTCCTTTGAAGGAAAAGCAGGATGTGGCCTGACTACCATTTTATCTATCATTCTTTCAGGGCTAGGAAAAGAGTGAAATTCAGTGTCCCAATCAAAGATAATCAGAGCCAGCCAAGAGTGGTGAGCCCAGGGGCTTCAGAGCCACTGAGACCCGAGTCTGAATCCAGGTTCCATCACACACTTGCTGGGTAAGCCAGGAAAGATTATCCTTCAAAGGCTAGCTTCTGATTTCTAAAAAGAGAATAAAAGTTTTGCAATAAAAAATAGATTAGGTAATATATGTAATGCTTGCTATGTCTGACACATAATGGACACTGTTTTTATCTTTAATTGTTATAAAGTGTAATGAAGCAGAGTCCTAGGTGTCTATGACTGGGAAGACACAGACCTCTGGACAAGGCTGAGCTTTCACAACCAGGAGGTTCTCTCAAGGTGACAAAGCAGACCCTTGAGTTTGTCTGGCTCTGAGGATGTCCCAAGCACTGACAACTCCATCGACTACCGGATTGCCCTTCATGGGCAATTAAACTGTTAGAAAACACCTACACCACCAACTTCAGAGACAACAGTACCTGTTGTGAGATGCTGTCTGGTATCCAATTGCCAAAGCCTGTCTCATGATATCACTCACGAGCTGTTCTGTAGCCTACAATGGAAGATGCTGTTATTCTCAAAAATGGTAGGAAAGGGTGTGTCTTCCCCATGATCTACTCCAAACTTTTGAAACAACTGCAACTAGGGATTAAAAAGTCCTTAAGGAAAAATGAAAGGTCTGAATACTAAACCACAAATGATAGAGGACATGACTCTGAGAAATTATGAACTGGGGTAATTTTCATTAATCAAACAGTGTTTTAAGGAAAACAGGTGAGGGTCGCTGCTGAGGTATCCTTGTTACTGGAGGAGATCCACCAGGAAGGAACTGGTGAGCTAGGATCAGGCTGGGTAAGGGAGCTGTGGCTTTTTCATCCCCTTGCCCAGGGATGGGACAGCTGCAGCTGCTTCTCTGTTGTTCTGACAGGCAGAGAAAACCCCAGACTTAGTCGTTCCCATCTCCTAAAGCAATGAGAGCACTGACTCTCACCCCAGAATACTTCGTAAAAACCACTTGAAATGGCACCAAAAAATCTGTTTAGAGTAACATTAGCACAAAAACTCTTGTAAATGCTTCAAGACTCTGAGTTCAGTTCATTTAAAAATCAGAAGGAAAAAACCACTTAAAGCTTAAGATGAGAAATTTTAAAATCTGTCATCCCTATTCCTTTTCTATCCATGTCCCTGCTCAAAACAGCCTGGGATCCGCCCGTCCCGCCTGGCTGGCCCCTCAGTGCTGCAGGCCAGGGAAGCAGCTCGTGGCCCCTCTGCTGCTAGCAGGCACCCACCTTTAGGATCATGTCCTCTACCACCGATGCGTACACGTTCCTATGCAGCACCACAGGCTGCAGGGAGATCCCAATCTGTAAAAGCAGAAGAAAGCCATTAGTTCCTACTTCTACATTAAAAACAGCCTCTCTTGGGGCCAGCCCGTGGCTCACTTGGGAGAGTGTGGTGTTGGTAACACCAAGGCCACGGGTTCGGATCCTATACAGGGATGGCCGGTTAGCTCACTTGGGAGAGCGTGGTGCTGACAACACCAAGGGTTACGAACCCCTTACTGGTCATCTTTCAAAAAAAAAAAAATAAATAAAAATAATAATAATAATAAAAATAAAAACAAAAACGGCCTCTCTCCAAACAAGCATACTTCCCTGACACCCAAAGAGATGCCTGGTTGGAAGAAAGGCTCCACAAGCTTTCTGGACAAAACTCATAGGAAGAAATACAGAACAACTGGAAGAATATGTTGTCCTATTTTTTCATGTTTCTGACTGACTGTTTATAATGCTATTATTCTGGGTTTTTTCTTTTTTTTTTTTACCACAATCTGCATGGGAGAACATGGTTGGGACTGGACATGAATTCTGATAGTGAGATCGGCACGTAGGAAGGTCTGGAATCCGTCTGCAAGAGGTGGAGAAGCTGTACTGAGAAACTGCATCCTGCCCCATTTTCCATTTCATCCTGTGAGTGAAATCAAACACTGTCTATCACTTTGGCTCTTGAGCAGCTAGCAGATGTTAAAGAGCTGCGGCTTTACATCAGGGGTGGATAATTCTCTCCTGTACAACGTGGCTGGAGCGCACCACATCTACACCACAGGCAGGACGTGTGGGAGTTATAAAAACGTCAGGGAAAGATTACCTGCTGAAGTAGAACTTGGAAATGTTATGACTTGCCTTGTGAAGGAAAGGGTCTTCTCCTTAGAAAAGGAGATGAAAATTAATAAGCTGTCTATTTCTAGCCAGCTTTGCTTCAAGTCCTGCTCAACAGGCAACCTTTCCACATGCAATTAATTTTCTTGCCCGAGGGCTTTGATGTGAGAAGGTGGGAGCCCAGAGAGCACATCAGAGTCTATCAGGCAGCAGAAAGGTCTGGAGTTTGAGTGTGCGAGACTGAACACCTGAGAATCTCACACCTGGTCTGTGACCTGTCACCGCCATAGGCCATAGCCCCCTACCTTCTGTGTGACGTCACCAATAAATGCAGACCCTGGTGTTGGTGGCAGGTAGACTTTCAGTTCTTCTTGTTTCTCCTCCTGCTCTTTTTTGATGTTTATCTTTAATGGCTCTGAGAGGTTGAGGACGTCCACCTCCTCCTCATTCTCTGGCTCTCTCTTCTGAAACTGCTGCAGCTCCTCCAGTTTTCGGCAGAGGTTGTCAGCCGAGGAGAATGACGACAAGCACTCTAAATGAGAGGCAATCAGTCTTACAACAGCTGTGGGGACAACAGGAGAGGACTTCCAATCCCGAGTAGTCCAATGGTCTGAGGAAGGGGGTAAGCATCAAGGGAGCTGAACTTCTTTCCCACTCTAGAATTCCAGGGGTCTAGAATGGTGAGAACTAGTAAATCTTGAGGTAGAGAAGCACAAAGACAGGCATCTTGTATTATATGTTATATGATGTTACTGCCATATAAGACAAAACAGTGCATAATTCTGACTTCTGCCACCAAAAACCAGGCAATCTCCCTACCCCCTCAGTATTAACGTCTACACTGATTTCTCTTCATCTTTTAACTCTGGAAAGTTTGGAAATGCATAGTGAAGAAAATAAAAATCCCACATATTCTCACTGCTCAGAGAGAAGTACTGTTAACATTTAACGTTTATGGTGCACCCAGTCTTTAATAAGGTGATTTATGCAAAGCCTAACAAAGAGTGTTAGGACTTAAAGCCAGTTCTAGCACACCCCTTCCACTTCATGGTTGAGCATGTGAGGTCCAGACCAGGTATGTGACGGGCTTACAGGCAGCCAGCAGGACAGTGGCAGAGCATCTAGCTCCTGGCCCTTTCACTTTTACTGACTGGACTCTAACAAATCAGGCACATTAACAGAAAACCGAGTATATGTAAAGTACTATGGTTTGGATATAGTAGCAGTGAAGCACAGGGATAATCAATACGGTCTCTGCTCTCCGGAGGGCTTAGATATGCAAGTCAGGCAATCCTTCATGGAACTGATGTTCAGTGCTGCAGGAGATCAGAGAAAGGAGAGGTCATCCTGCATCAGGCCTCTCAGGAAGCTTCACGGAGAAAATGGGACTTACACCAAGTCTTAAAAAGACCCCACCTCTGTGTGTCAGGTTCCCTCAGACTGGGAGGTGAAGCTTCTGTTTTTCCACATAAATGGGTCTTGGGGGAGAAAACAACCCTTCTTATTCTTTAAGATGAAACTCAAAATGCTTCTTTTCTCCAAATACCTTTTATGCCCTGTCTCCTAACCCTGCCACCACCCAGCAGCTCTCTGTTTCATTATCATTAAACACTCAGTTCATTTCATCTGCACGTTATTAGCTGTTCACACATGCCTCTAACACCAGGTAGCATACTTTCTAGCTTGGTTTGGTGACAAAGTAACAGATAAGACAAAGGCCGCATCTTCATGGAAACAGGACAGACTTGTCTATAGGGAGTACCTAAGGTCACAAAGGAATGGGAAATCACTTCCATCTGGAGGAAAGGATATGGATTAGGAGTCTTCAAGGAAGAAACAATGCTGGGGAGGGACTCCCAAACAAACTGTGCGCCTGCTGATGGCATGGGCCGGCACACTCCTGGCTGGGGTACGACACTTGCCATACTTGGGTATGTACAGTTCTGTAAGCATGGTACAGTCCTGGGAGGACATGGCATGAGGTAAGCAAAGGCTCTTGCTCTCCACAGCAACTCTTCAGGTCCTTGACCTCAGCTGAAGGAAAGCACTGGAGACTGCTGGGGCTGAGGTGGTTAGGGCCACAGAAGGCTTACCTGGCTCACTGTCGATCTGGGTCAGCACATCCTCAATGGAGTCCCCATCATTTCTCAGGCTCTCGGGATCTGGTGGGGTGTAGCCATGGCAGCGACACCAGTGAGCAATGTGCTTGGTTTTGAGGGGAGTCAGGTGGTGAAATCTTGGATTCTTCTCCAGTATTTCTTGTAAGACCTTGCGCATCGTCATTGCTCTTTGCCACTTAAAAAAAAACCAAAAAAACTTTTTTGAACCATAATCAAATACTTGAACTTAAAAGCTGCATATTAAAACAAATCGTGCAGCTGTAAATCACCATGCTAACTTGTTAGAAACATTTTTTTCCTAAGAAAAAAAATCTGATTGTGTTACTCCCAGTTTAAAAAAAAGAAAAAAAGTAATAGAACTTCCATTGCCTCTGTAATGTTTATAAGACAGAAACTCCTAGGTTTGGCCTTTAAGTCTCTTCACCCAATATCAACCTGTGATCTCCCACTTCCCTTCTTCCTCATCTTCCCCCAAACCAGCCGCTTTTGTTCCTAACATGCCTTTGCACATGCTACTTCCTCTTCTCCTATCCCCACTATATCTAACACAGCAGGTGCCACACTGTAAGTACTCAATAAATGGATTCATTTTAATTTTAATATTTTGAAATCCATAAAAAATATTTAGAAAACATGAGGGATGTTTCTATCAATGCAGGGAAAAAAAAGGCCTTTCAAAGGCCAGCTACAGGTCTTTGAAAAATGAGTCTATTTTAACTGAGGAAGATATTCCACCCCCAAATATTTTAACAAAATATGCTGCAAATGTTATCACTACTCCACAGGACAAGGTTTATGGAAGTGGCCAGAGTGCACAGGTGCTTCAGTTCTTTTCTCCCCACAGGCTCTCAGTGCACATCAAACAGGCAGACATGGGATTACCTCAGCGGCTCTCCTTTTTCCAATGTTCCAGCCATAATACTGCTCCACAGACTTCGCAGAAAAACAACTGGCATCTTCACCTAGAATGCACATCCCCAGCAAACTCTGAATGGAGTGGTTATGATTCAAACCCAATCTTATTTGCTGGAGGCATGTCCGATTCCGATGGTTTCTCCAGCCCTCTCTATTGCATACACGTTCCTTCTGGGCAAGTCCAGATAAGCATAATACAGAAGGGCTTCTCCTTAAAAGAGAAGGTCTCTCATTCATGTACACTCAAAAGAACACTCGTCCTGGGGAAATTGACTTCTTTGGCAGAGAGAAGTAATCTACTGCTATGAAGCTATTAAAATAAGTGGAAATGACACTCCACTAGGAGCCCTGGCCTTGCCATGAACTCTCTAAGTGGCCTTGAGCAACCTAAAGCACTTCTCTGGGCTTCAGTTTTCTCATCTGTAAACAAGAAAGTTGGGAAAGATGGTTTCTGAACTGCCTTCTAGCTCTAATAGTCTATATTTGTACCTAAATTTTAAAGAGAGAGAGAAATTTTTGAGTCTTTTTCTGCTGTGCTGGGAAACTATCATGGAAAGTTTACTTTGAGCTCCTTCAAAATGATCACCTGAACTTCCACTGAGGGAAAAAGGAGATCATTTCTTTGATATTAAAGTTGGAAAAAATAAGCAGGGTGGTGTGTAAGGGCCTACCGTTTATACTTGCCCATGACTGCAAGGGACATGATATCTGTGTCTGTGTCACGTTCATGGAGATCTTGCCCATGAGGATACACCTAGGTATCCACAGCTTGTCTGCCCCTCAGCAAGGGCTGTTGATTCTGTCAGAACGACTGGGGCTGAGAGCAAACAATTCCATCTTGCTAACAATGGGCAGTAACACAGCAGTCACTTTTGGAAGTCCTGAAAATCATGCACTTCCACAGAGTGAGTGATACTGAGTTTTAGAGGAAAGATTAATGGTCTTGGAGTCAAACAGAACTGGCTTTGTATCCTGCCTCACCACCATACCTATCTCTTTGTTTTTTGGTGGCTGGCCAGTATGGGGATCCAAACCCTTGACCTTGGTGTTGTCAGCCCCACGCTCTCCCAAGTGAGCTAACCGGCCAGCTAACCCATAGCTATCCTGAGCAAGTTACTTAACCTTGCTTATTCTCAGCTTTCCCATGTGTAAAATGAAGACGGAACCATCTATCACGTGAGAGGATGTGATTATGTAAGAGAGTAAAGGCAACGAGCCTGCACATGGTCTAACACACTGTAGGCAAACGCTACTTTCTTTCCTTACAAATAAACATTAATAGCTAAAAACCAATGCAGAGTTTAAATTATATATACCAACAACTTGTGATTTACATACAAAAATAAATATAAAAAATTCCTTCTACAGATCAAGCACAGTGAAAACAGTAAAAGTCTATCTGGATGACCAAGATATTGTGAATTCTAAAACCCCTGCAAATGAGCTATATCTCTAGCTAAAGTCTCATAAAATAATAACCACCACATCAGTATTAACATACAATATTAAGTGATTTAAATTACCTCAATATCCCTAGTTCACAGCTTAAAAAAAATGCTTCCGTATATTCAGGAAAATTGTCTTACTTTTTGCAGTGATTAATGGAATCCTCTTTACTACTGCTGTTAAGAGTTGCTGGATTGTCTCTAAATGGTCTATCCTGAGAAGGATAAAAGAAAATTAGGTCAATAAATTAAATACATGTAGCAACTTCTAGACACACACACACACACACACACACACACACACACACACACACACACACACACACAAGAATCCATAAATAAACCCTTATATTTTTGGCTAATTGACGATTGACTGATTGATTAGAATAAGTTCAAGAGATCTACTTACATCATGATGACTGTAGATAATAATGGTATATTGTATACTTGAAAATGGCCAATTGATTTTTGATAAGATCACTCAATGGAAAAACAATAAGTTTTTCAACAAGAAGTGCTGGAGCAAGTGGATATTCAGATGCAAAAGAATGAAGCTGGTTCTCTTCCTTACACCATACACAAAATTAACTCAAAATGTCACACACACACACACAGATGCTCCTTGACTTATGACGGGGTTACATCTGGATAAACCCATCGTAAGCTGAAAGTATTGCAAGTCAAAAGTGTGATTTGGCTTACTATATTTTCAATTTAAGATGGGTTTATCTGGACATAACCCTACCATAAGTCAAGGAGTGCAGTAAATGTGTACTGTTTTCACACCATTGTGAAGTCAAAAAATCCTAAGTCAAGGACTGTCTGTACATGTGTATTTATGTATACATTCCTCCTTTCCAAGGGAATATTAATTTAAAACCATTGTATAGACATGTCTTTCTTTTCATAGACAGCCTTCTTTTAAAAGAAAGCATGTTTTACACTTAAAAAGAAAATGCTAAGACTAAATAAACAGGTGAGACCCCAGGAATGGCAAATTACGCAAATGTCATTTTATTTTCTATAGTTTAAAATTAAATAGCAACATAATCTTTTTGCTGTGTAACTGCTGCTAGAGCAGAAAAGTTCTATCATACAAATGCCTATCTTAGGGTTTTATTACAGTTCATGCTTCCATCTATCATGTTAAAGTGGCTAAGTTTCTACTGTCTCCAGAAGTTTGAGCTACTTCAAAGAATGTGGTCAGAGGTGGGTTCCCGATTTAGAAATTAGAAAACCTCAGGAAGCATTTTTAGGAGAAGCAATGAGTGTGTATGGCCCACAAAGAGGCAGCTGTGTGAGGGTAGGCAGGTTCGTGGATACCCAAGTCACAAAACGGGTACACCCCAGGGTGATTACATCATAGCATTTTCACCCCCAAGGACTCAGTGGAGAAAGTATATGCTGGCAAGCTCAACTCAAGGGAAGTCTGTCATCCCATCGGAGCTTCTAAGGCTGCAAATCAAGTGCCACCCTGAGTCCTGTCACTGTATAAAATGATGGCTCTTCAGCTGTGCGTAAAGGTTGTTCACTGCATGGGGACAGACAATGTACACACAACTCTACACATTCTCAGCTGTCACAGGCATAGTTTTGAAAAAGCAGCATCGTAAGAACACCCAAAGCAGAATTCCTTTAGAAAAGACTGGAATAATTACTTAATGACATAGTTCCCCAGTTCAGAACTTTCTTCTGTTTTCACCGCTGTCTGACCCTCCTGAGAGAGGCAGCTTGGCCCGGCTGTTTCTGGTTCAGTCTTCACTGCAAGGGAAGAGCAACAAAGAGAGCTGTCAGGGGCCAGTGGTGGAGGGACACGTGCAGTCAGAAACAAAGCTCTTCCTCTGAAGCTCAGTGAGGAAACTGCCGCTCCAGCTGCTGCAAGAACCCAGCCAAGAGGCTGAGACGGCTCCTGTCATCACACGGCCTCAGACAAGGGAAGAACTGTTAGCTTGGGTCTCAGGGGGAGCAACTCCAGGCTCATGACAAGGTAGGGGCAGTAAAATGGCTTTTCAGATATTTCTCAAAGGGCCATCCTCTCTGCTATGTGAGATCCCTTGCACACTACCCCCTCCCAGCCCCCACTGAACAATGCCACTTTAAAATACAATGCCGGCTTTTTCTTTTTCTTTTTTTCCTTTTTGTCTTTTTTCGTGACCGGCAACGGATCGCAACCCTCAGTGTCGCACCCGCACCGGACCGGGACCGGCCACGGGATCGCAACCCTCGGTGTTGCTCCTGCCCCTCGCTCAGCCAGTGAGCGGCCGGTCTGTATGTGGGATCCGAACCCTCGGCGGGAGCGCCACCGCGCTTTCCCAAGCGGCGCACTATAGCAGTGCGCCACCGGGCCGGCCCAATGCCGGCTTTTTCTAATATTATGACCTTTTTGATATCATCTCTCCAGCTAAGTTGATCAACTTTCAACATTATCTTAGTGTTCTGAGATGCAAGGCAGAAAGCAAAAACTAGATCTACCGTGTTTGGAAATTTCCAAGCTGATCACAACAGGCTTTTAATATTACTAAATCAATTGATGGAAGATGGTCATTTCTCAGGTGCATGTGCCTTCCTTTCCTTTGACTGTCTCCATCTATCAAAAAACCATGACCACACACTGACTGCTTCTGCACCAGCTTCCCTAACTCCACTCTTCTCCTGACAACTCATCTTGTACATCAGCACCAAATCATTTTCCTGAAAGACCTTACTGTCATTCCCTGCTCAATATTCTTCCCGTGTACCCACCACTCAAATCAAACTGTATGTTTTTGACAGTTCCCCCTGACAAAGATATCCACCCTTTGCCCATTATGAACTTCAAATAACTGGAATCACACAATGCATACTCTTGTGTGTCAGCATCATTTTAGCTATTAAATGACAATGTAATGAGCACTCCTTTATGTCTTTTGGTAGACATATGTGCTCATTTCCGAAAAGTGGATTTGCTGGAACATAGGGCAGAGGTTAACTGTGTTAGAAACTGCCAAACTGGTTTCCAAAGTGATTATATCAGTGTATAGTCCCACCAGCAGTGTGTGCAAATTCCATTCACATTCTTGTCAGCACTTGGTACTGTTAGTCCTTTCGGTTTGGTGATTCTGGTAGATCACTATGGTTTTAATTTGCATTTCCTTGATGACTAATGAGGCTGAACATTTTCCATAGCCTTATGAACTATTCTGATTTCCTCTTCTGTGAAGTGCCTGTTCATGGTTTTCGCCCATTAAAAAAAATTAGTGTCAGTGTTATTCATATTAATTTTTAGGAGGTCTGTGTATTCTGGATATGTCTCCTTTGTTAGATATACATATTGCAAATGTCTGGGTCTGTGACTTGACTTCTTGCTCTTTTAATGTCCTCTGATGAAGTGAGGTTCCCAATGTTAATAAAGTCCAATTTATCAGTTTTTTTCTTTTATGGTTAGTTTTCTTGTGTGTCCTGTATAAAACATCTTTTCTCAAGGTTATGAAGATACCCCTCATATTTTTTTTCTAGAAGCTTTTTTACCTTTTACATTTAGGTTTATGATCCAACTCAAATTAGCTTTTGTTTATGGTATAACGTAGGGGCCAAGATTCACTGTTTTCCCAAATGGGTATATCCAATGTACTTAGTACTCTTTATTGAAAAGACCATCCTTTCCCTACTGGATTTGTCATAAATCAGGTTAACATATATGGGTAGGTCTATTTCTCTTTTTTTTTTTTCCTTTTTGTCTTTTTTCGTGTCCGGCAACGGATCGCAACCCTCAGTGTTGCGCCCGTACCGGACTGGGACCGGCAACGGGATCGCAACCCTCGGTGCTGCGCCCGCACCTTGCTCAGCCAGTGAGTGGG